TTGACCAGGTACATCCTGGTATAAAAGTGACCCAGGTCATACACCCTGGTATAAAAGTGACCCAGGTCATACATCCTGGTATAAAAGTGACCCAGGTCATACATCCTGGTATAAAAGTGACCCAGGTCATGCATCCTGGTATAGAAGTGACCCAGGTCATGCATGTACATCCTGGTATAGAAGTGACCCAGGTCATACATCCTGGTATAAAAGTGACCCAGGTCTCGCATCCTGGTATAGAAGTGACCCAGGTCATGCATGTACATCCTGGTATAGAAGTGACCCAGGTCATACATGTACATCCCGGTATAGAAGTGACCCAGGTCATGCATGTACATCCTGGTATAGAAGTGACCCAGGTCATACATCCTGGTATAGAAGTGACCCAGGTCATACATGTACATCCTGGTATAGAAGTGACCCAGGTCATACATCCTGATATAAAAGTGACCCAGGTCTCGCATCCTGGTATAGAAGTGACCCAGGTCATACATCCTGGTATAAAAGTGACCCAGGTCTCGCATCCTGGTAGAGAAGTGACCCAGGTCATGCATGTACATCCTGGTATAGAAGTGACCCAGGTCTCGCATCCTGGTATAGAAGTGACCCAGGTCATGCATGTACATCCTGGTATAGAAGTGACCCAGGTCATACATGTACATCCTGGTATAGAAGTGACCCAGGTCATACATGTACATCCTAGTATAAAAGTGACCCAGGTCATACATCCTGATATAAAAGTGACCCAGGTCATGCATCCTGGTATAGAAGTGACCCAGGTCATGCATGTACATCCTGGTATAGAAGTGACCCAGGTCATACATGTACATCCTGGTATAGAAGTGACCCAGGTCATACATCCTGGTATAGAAGTGACCCAGGTCATACATCCTGGTATAAAAATGACCCAGGTCTCGCATCCTGGTATAGGAGTGACCCAGGTCGTACATGTACATCCTGGTATAGGAGTGACCCAGGTCATACATGTACATACTGGTATAGAAGTGACCCAGGTCATACATCCTGGTATAGAAGTGACCCAGGTCATACATGTACATCCTGGTATAAAAGTGACCCAGGTCATACATCCTGGTATAAAAGTGACCCAGGTCATGCATCCTGGTATAGAAGTGACCCAGGTCATGCATGTACATCCTGGTATAGAAGTGACCCAGGTCATACTTGTACATCCTGGTATAGAAGTGACCCAGGTCATACATCCTGGTATAGAAGTGACCCAGGTCATACATGTACATCCTGGTATAGAAGTGACCCAGGTCATACATCCTGGTATAAAAGTGACCCAGGTCTCGCATCCTGGTATAAAAGTGACCCAGGTCTCGCATCCTGGTATAGAAGTGACCCAGGTCTCGCATCCTGGTATAGAAGTGACCCAAGTCATGCATGTACATCCTGGTATAGAAGTGACCCAGGTCATACATCCACATCCTGGTATAGAAGTGACCCAGGTCATACATCCACATCCTGGTATAGAAGTGACCCAGGTCATACATGTTCATCCTGGTATAGAAGTGACCCAGGTCATACATGTACATCCTGGTATAGAAGTGACCCAGGTCATACATGTACATCCTGGTATAGAAGTGACCCAGGTCATACATGTACATCCTGGTATAGAAGTGACCCAGGTCATACATCCTGGTATAGAAGTGACCCAGGTCATACATCCTGGTATAGAAGTGACCCAGGTCATACATCTTGGTATAGAAGTGACCCAGGTCATACATGTACATCTTGGTATAGAAGTGACCCAGGTCATACATGTACATCTTGGTATAGAAGTGACCCAGGTCATACATGTACATCCTGGTATAGGAGTGGCCCATGTCATACATGTACATCCTGGTATAGGGAGTGACCCAGGTCATACATCCTGGGATAGGGAGTGACCCAGGTCATACATCCTGGGATAGGGAGTGACCCAGGTCATACATCCTGGGATAGGGAGTGACCCAGGTCATACATCCTGGTATAGAAATGACCCATATACTGGTATTAAGAGTCCCAGGTGGTCATAACCGCAAGTACTAAACTGAACCGTGAGGTCAAAAAATCCTAATAAAGACCAAGGAGGAAGGCCATTAGTCAGTTTATATTATGTTCAGTCAAACATTCATTTACTGTGTGTTATTATATAGGAATTTATTTTCACTGTAGACATTGATTTGGTGTGTGCATTGTATTTTCACAGACCAAGTTGAGGACAATTGTATTTATCACTGGAATTGAACCAATATACACTGACACTAATAACATTGATAAATAGAGTACAAAATGTACTTTTATATACGAAAATACATTTCAGAAATAAAACTAAACTAGATAAAATTCAAACACATAGTTTGTATATGACTTTTTTATTGTAATTTATTTACCTTGACAGTCTTGGGTGAACACTGACATGATTGTTTATTTGATAGATCAAAACACTTATAAAAAAAAACAACTTTATAACTTGTAGTAGAAAGATATAAACCTGCTGTGAGCAGACAAAGTTTTATCTAGAATATTGTTTATTCATTAAATTCTGTGAGTATTTCTTAACAGTTATTTGGATAATCAAACTGTTCATGTTTGAAGACAGAAACTGTTATTATTCATTTACCAGTATTTATGATATACCACTGTCTGTGTTTAGTATGTCTTTAGCGAAACATTCATTTCACTGTGGAATTTATACTGTAAAAATGGAAATTTTATTCATGGAAAGACAAGTTACCCCTAAAATTTGTGGTGATTTTTTTGAAAAGCAATGCATGTTCCATATTTTTAGTGTTAGTTTCACAGTGAAAGTAACCTCAGTTCCACAATAGTTTTTAGATGATAAGCTGATTATTTTTGTGATGGTGTGTGTGGTAGTGTGGTGGACACTATTTTCTTGTGTTTCTTCAAGGTTGATTTCTGAGTTTAGGTAATGTATAGAGGTTTATTTTACAGCAAAATCCTCACCATATACCAATTGTAACTGCTTTTTGTGGTTATTAAGACAAGGAGACTAAAGTTTCCGGTGCTTTGTACAATTTATGAATAATCATTTCTTGTTAATTTGAATTAAGTAATCATGTGATTTAGCATATCAATCATTCATTGATAATTTTTTTTGTAACATTTCTAGAATATGAAACATATTTTCATCTTTCTTTTTTATGATTATCTGTTTTGAAAATTGTTTCAATATTTTCTTAAAAGTCTAGAAAAAAATCTTTGTTTCAGATCAGATTAAAAACACTTTTTTTTAAATTTTATTCTGGGCTATAAATTTCATCAACTATTATTTTA